AAAACCAAATTTACCCCCCCCCCCCCCCCATAGACTTCAAAGGGGTTCTCCACAAAGTTCACAAACTGAATTTCCAGCAAAATTCAAGAAAGATGTATGCACAGAACCCAGGCAGATTTCCCTCATCTGTAATGATTATATTATGGCTCAAGAGGAGGTCTCCTGCTCTTTAGGCACAAACTTTTTGCCTACTCATGCCCCTTTACCCCTCTGAGGAGACCCTTATAATAATCTGTGTTACTCTATTCTCTGGTTTGGAAGAAGGGTGGGATTCTCTCTCTGTCACGATCTGGGATCAGACTCAGAGTCCAGCAGCTGAGGCAGCAGGCAATTGGTAGTATAACAGGCCAGGTTTGATACACAAGCAGCGGGTAGTAGTGGAGGAGCAGGCAGAAGCGTAGTCAGCGAACAAGCCGAGGTCAGGAGCCAAAAGGTATCCAGTATGTAGGAGGAGAAGGTGAGAGTAGTCGTTGAATCAGCAGCCAAAGGTCGGTACGCGGGAAGCAGAATGAGTAGATTGTAGCACAGAGGGAGCAGGAAGCAAGATATTGGCAGGAGCACAATAATCTGGCAAAGAGGAGTGCAGAGGCGTGGCTTAAATAGGAAGTTCAAGGGAGGAGCAAGGAGTTCAGCAGAGATTAGGTATAACTGAGGATTACACAGGAGATCAAGCCAGGAACTGTCCAAGGTTCCAAGGTGGCTCAGCAGGTAGAACCACTGCCAGCTACAACAGAGGTCCCGGGTTCAGATCCTGTTCCTGACATCCAGTTCCTCATCATTTGCACTTCCAATCACTATTGCTTTCTAGTGATTTTTGTCCAAGAAGAAAACCAAAGTGCAACTGATCCTGCACTACATATTGGCAACCATGTTCTCACCAAGTTATTTATATCTGGCTTATAAGTGTGACTGTAACTAGTAAATGTTAAAGGAAGCAGCGAGTGGTGCTGTCAGCTAATGATGGTAATTAGTATTTATTGCCATCCAACTTCACAGCCTATTCATTAGAGAGGATGACAGACTAATAAATCATCATGGTGGAGTCTCCGTATATCATGTCTTATCTATGTTATAAAATGTTATCCTTTACAGACAAACACGGTTCTGTTGGTCTTGACTGTTCATCTCCTGAGAAAGAGGCTGGCTTCTGTAAATAAAAACGTCTCCACTCTGAAGAATACCCGGTAAGTGTTTACTTGTACAGGAAAACCTAACTGCCTGAACCATTGAGTAAACTTCAGATCCAAATATTTAAGAGGTGTTTATATCTACCGTATTTTGCGCTCCATGGGGCGCACTGGACCATAGGACGCAGGCAGGTTCTGTGACAGTTTCTGTGACAGAAACTGTTACAGAAGCTGCAGTTAGTGACCGCTGAGACAGGTGGCGCTGTGACTAGTGTTCTCAGTGTTCACACAGAGCAGACGAAGAACTAATGTTCTTCGTCTGCTCTAGGGGCTCTATGGTGAGCTCCTATCCCGTGGTCACCGGGGCCCCCAGAAGAGCGGGGGACCCGAAAACCACGGCGAGGGGGGCGGACTCGATCGCTGCCGCTCGATTTTAATACAAGCGATCTGAATAGATCACTTGTATTAAACGAGCAGCGGCTCCCACTGTAAATTTAGCTCTGCTTTAGAAAACTCGCCTGGCGCCCGAAACTGCATGTTCCGAGCGTCAGGCAATAGGGATTTCCCCCCGACTTTTTTTTGGGGGGGGGGGGGAGTGCGTCTTATGGAGCAGAAAAATGCGGTAAACGCTTATTCAAAAGGTTCAAATGGACCAAGGTTTTCCAAGCAAGCTCATTGGCTCTGGTAAGGCGGCTCCAACAGCACAACAGGTCTCCCTTAGTAGGGTACTGGTAAGAAGCTTTGAGTGTAGACATATATTGAATGGTTACCGACCAAACAGGTCAAATGGTCCAGTCTATTAATTATGTAATCAAAAAGGAAAAACGGCCAACATGTTTCGGGGGCAACAACAAGAACAGTTTATCTGTTGCTGATCACTTCATGTAATTACAGTCCAGGAGAAGAATTCATACTACACCAATCAAATGAGCAATTTTATTCAGCCCTTTGAGTTTTCAAAGTTCCTACTATTGTTGTTTCACGCCCTGATGAAGGGGCTGAACCCCCCCCCCTCCCCCACCTACCTAAACACTGTTGCTGGCCATGTGTACTCCTCCAAGTAAACGGTATTCCCTGATGGCAGTGACCTCTTTCAGGAGGATAATGAGCCCTGCCACACTGCAAAGAATGGTTTGAGGAACACAACAATGAGTTTGAGGTTTTGACTTTGCTTCCAAATTCTCCAGATCCCAATCCAATCGATCATCTGTGGGATGTGCTGGAGAAACAAGTCCGATCCATGGAGGCCGATCACCTCACAACTTACAGGACTTACAGGATCTGCTACTGACTGCTTGATGCCAGATTATTATTATTATTATTATTATGTTGATAATTTTCCTCAACACTGCTATTGCTAACATGTGGTAGTTGCATACTGCAGGGTATCCAGCAGCTGTAGTTTTAGAAGTTAGGTGTTAAAACACAACTCTAGCTTCTGGGCCTAACCCCCACCCCAAGTTCTTTACTTCCCCTCCAGTTAAAAAAAAGTACTACTCACCCAAATGGACTAATGACCACATCCTCTGTTGGTCATTAGTCCTCTTCCAGGTTGAAATATGTCCAGCATCATTTGATGACTTCTTGTTCCTGTTCTATGGAGCATTGAGGACCACCAGATGTGGACTGACCATTTGGGCACTGCCTGAGGGTCTGCGGGCAGGAAGGGGCCCATCACGACCCCCCGCTGGCCTGTCAGCCACTCACCTTGGCTTATTTACTACTGAGCTTTGTGTTCTTTACTACTGTGAGTGGCATTATTTACATTGACATTGGTGCTGAGGTCTTCCTTGCATTGGCGCTGGTCTGAGGTCTTCCGTGCATTGGTGCTGGCCTGAGGTTTTCCGTGCATTGGTGCTGGCCTGAGCTCTTCCGTGCATTGGTGCTGGCCTGAGATCTTCCGTGCATTGGTGATTGTCTGAGGTCTTCCGTGCATTGGTGCTGGCCTGAGATCTTCCGTGCATTGGTGCTGGTCTGAGGTCTTCCGTACATTGGTGCTGGTCTGAGATCTGCAGTTCATTGGATCTGGTCCAAGGTCTGCCGTGCATTGGTTCTTGTATGCGGTCTGCTGTGCATTGGTGCTGGTCAAAAGCAGACTGACCTTTCCGGCAGACTGATCATTTGGGGACCTTACCGCACACACTGGAGCGGGGGGATGGACGGATGTCTGCATACTGCTCATGCGGTATGCGCCCAAACCCCCACTCCGGTCCTGGATCATTCAGTTCCCCTGTCATTTCTCCTACTAATTCTCCTGAAATTCAACCAGGATAATTGGCAGGATTGAAGAGTCTGGGTCAAAATAGCCAAACCCCAAAAATTCTGCCATTTAACTCACTTTCCAAATCGTCTATAGTGTTCAAGATTTTGATATTTTCCTACCAATTCCCCTGCAATACACCTTCTAGGGAATAGATCTGTTATTTTGACAATAGTATGGAGGAGAAATAATTTCTGTAACACAACAATGTATATCTGGGTGGAACTTGTGAATGGATGGGGCTTGCATATGGGTGGAGCACAAGGGGGCCCATGATCTTGTGTTGCATGGGGACCCCATGTGTTGTCAGTCAGGGACAACACATGGGGCTGTGCCTGTGTGTTTATGGAAATATCTGTACCTGAGTTTAAATAAGAATGCTTATAGGAGTTCCAGGGCAAATACAAACTCCTATAAGCAGGTTTCAGGGTGTTTCATAGACACCAGCTCTGGACTGAATGGAAGACTTGTCAGTCACATGGCCAACTAACTATCCCTCCTGTTTGCAGGTTACTGACCTTCAAAGCTGTGGCCCAGCTCTTCATCCTTGGCTGTACCTGGGGTATTGGCTACTTCCAGTTTGGACCTCATTCTCTGATCTTTTCCCACCTCTTCACTATCCTCAACAGCATCCAGGGAGTGTACATCTTCCTTGTACACTGCCTGCTCAATCAACAGGTATATGTATATCACGAACATATTATGTAAGGATGTGGAAAGCTAAAACTTCTACAACTATATTTGGGCAATTTTAGCTTTGTCCCACACACATGGTGAGATGACGTCAAGTTGGAAAATTGCCGGGGAAGTACATGAGGTCTTCAGGTGGCTCCTCTACAATGGCCATGTCTTTCAAAGACTATAAACTGGATACAAAATCTGCATTCTTAGAACAATTCCTCCCACCACTAGATGGTGCTGAGGAGCATAGGAATTCCTATCCTCCTTAGCACCATCTAGTGGTGGGAGGGGGTATACCAGTGTCCTCTGCAACATTTCAAAGGAAAGTGTTATTGACAGGAAACTGTAAACCTCCCATTGCCTAATCAAGTCAGACTTGTGACTCTTGGCTGCTAAGCGGCCGGAGTTATAAGCAGGGTTGCCACCTTTTCTTCAAGCGAAACCCGAACACTCTAGCGACACGCGTACATTTTTTTTGGAAGAATGAGCCGTGGGTTATTCATGTGCAAATATCACAGCTGAGACTATTTTGAGTGGGGGGCCAGTAGCCCCTATCTTAATTTTGGTTGCCCCTGTCTGCCTTACTCTTTGTGTCTGGGTTTCTGCTGCCATGAAACCCAGACACAGCATTCAAAACCGGGATTTTCTGGGTGAATCCTGGACAGGTGGCAAGCCTAACCAGGACCAATGCAGGCTCTTGAAGCACCCTGGAACTATGTGGGCTTCTGAGCATGGTTGGTGTCTTTCCTGGATTGAGGATCTGCATCCACCTGGACGGTCTGGTACATCAGTGTTTGGGTGGATCTGCATTGCAACTTTTACAAGGTCCGGTGAGTCTGGAGCTGCTGATGGTTACCCCTAGATACCTAGAACCCCTATACCCTCTCTCCCAAAGAAGATGTTCAATAAACTGTTTACTTAGCATTCTATTACTGAAGTGGACATCAATTTATGGGCACCAGAAGAGGGCGGTTAGTGCTAATGGGCGCAGCTGGAGATCAACCCCTAGACTGACTAGATGTGGACCGGGCAAACAGCGGAGTTATCGCTACAGCTGCTTCCCTGGAGTTGGGTTTTAGGAGATGTCCTCACGAGTGGACTATCAGTGTATATTGATCATTTCTTGCAACCCTTGGTAACCAACCTACCCTCATACATCAAAGACTCTGGTCATCTGATACAGATTCTCTCGAAGTATCAATGGCACCCCTCATACATCTGGCTGTCCCTTGACATCACTTCATTATACACCTCCATACCCCATGACGTAGGGCTCAATGCACTGCAATACTATCTATCCTCCCATTCCTCGATACATCATAAACAGGCACAATTTATTGTAGATTGCACCAAATTCACACTGGAACACAATTACTTTGCATTCATGGAAAACTTCTACCGGCAGATTAAAGGCACAGCGATGGGGGCCAATTATGCCCCCAGCTATGCGAATCTCACTATGGGCTTTTGGGAAGACCACTCCATATGGGCTAATAACCCTTTTGCGTCCCACCTCATCTTCTATGGACGCTACATTGATGATATTGTGATCATCTGGGACGGCCCCATCGAGTCCATAACAGAATTTGTGTCCCACTGCAACCGAAATACACTAGGCCTAACTTTCACATACGTGCACAATCCAGATAAATTGGTTTTCTTAGATTTGGAATTATCCTCTGACGGCAACGCCATTACCACCTGCAATCACATAAAACCCACTAGCGGCAACTCGTATGTACATTTCAACAGTTGCCACCACCCCCGATGGCTTCAAAACATCCCCAAGAGCCAATTCTGCAGGCTAAAGCGGAACTGTTCCAGACTAACAGATTTCACTGCACAAAGCAAACTACTCGCCAATAAATTCAGGGACAAAGCTTATCCAGAAACACTCATCCATAACGCATACTCCGTATATTTACAACCACCCAGACTAGAAACAGACACCCGCCCAGAGCCCGTAGCAGAAACCCGATTCATCACCACATTCAACAATAACCATAATAGAATACAAAGTATAATTCGAAAAAATTGGCACATCTTAAAACAAGACCCCAAATTAGGCCCCCTTACATTTCCACCAAACCTGCAGTCACTTTTAGAAAGGCCCGCAACCTCAAAAATAAATTAGCACCAAGCAGGTTATCAACCGGGGCCACCAGAGACTCATCACATCAGAAATTTGACAATAGAGTGGGAATATATCAATGTAAAAAATCCCGCTGTTTGACTTGCCAGTTCATTACTCACGGCCAATCCTCTTTCACCGATCACTTAGACAACAGATATCACATAAAACAGTTTATCACATGCTCACATGACCACGTAGTATATGGCCTAAAATGCCTGTGCAATCTATTATACATTGGTCGCACTATCCGTCGCTGAGAAAGAGGATAGGAGATCATAGACGCTTCATCGCTGACGGCAACTGTGATCACAGCGTCCCTAGACACTTCGCAGCAAAACACGGCAAACGCATCCAGGATCTTTGCGTTTTCGCCATAGAACAAATTCCTGACCATTTCTCCCCATCCGAACGTTTCCAAAAGCTATGCAGACAAGAAACATTCTGGATATACAAACTGAATACCCTTGTTCCAACGGGACTAAATGAAGAATTGGAAATCTTGACCATTCTATAAACGATGCCCACCCACTGCCCATCGACGCCCTGAATACCCAGACCATTCGGTCCCCCACATACCCGATGTTCCCCTCCACGAACTCAGCCTCAGTTTAAATTGCGTTACGCTCTTCCACATATTAGTATGACCCACGCGTTCCCATGATAGCCTCTCTAAACAGCTGTTTCATCATTCGTTTAAACATTCGTTTTAAAATACTCGTTTTAATAAATTTTGTCTATTCTTATACTCATATTTTTAAAACCTTTAGTTTTTATTCATCTATTATAGCTCATGATTTATGTGCCAACTTTTTATTCCCATTGAGATCCCCCCCAAATCTCATTTTTAACTATTTCTTTGCGTTATCAAAACTATATATCAAAAACAATATATGGTAGACAGGTCCCCGAGACGAAATACCCGTATTTAATGCTCCCTTTCAGCAGTCCCCTCTCAAATCTGCAATAAAATTACCATACATAATTAGAAATCTATTTTAACACACACACACACCACGAATTGTCCCCCCCTCTAAGATTGTATACAATTAGACAATCAACCTTAGAGCGTCCTCTAAGGCATTTCCAATGCCTCCCCCCGGTGGTGACTCACTATTTATGTCTGTTATGCCCATGGCACGCTCCCCTACGGACTGAATAGGGGCCATAGATCCACCCCCAAGTTGCCCCCAATTGTTCAACCTGGCTAGAGTAGCTTTAGCCCTTACCGATTACTACACATGCCGAGGCTCCACGACTTCGAGCGTGCGGCTCCCCCGCCCACTGGCACTAAGCTCCACCCAGCTGTCACATTTAAATCGGCGGTTTCCCGCCGCCCCCACTAG